TCCGAATAATAATAATAATAATAATAATAATAATAATAATAATAATAATAATAATAATAATAATAATTTTTGGGGGGTCCGCATTTTTTAAAATTTATTATATATAATATATAATTCCGTGTTTAAAATTATTTTCATTAGAATGTTTATTTAGTTTTTGTTTAAAAAAAATAAAACATAAAACACGTAAACGATTTTCCCTTTTCCCTTTTCCTTTTTTTTGGATTTTTTTTTAGAAAGAAAAAGTTTTCACGTTTTTTTTTTTTTTTTTTTTTTTTTTGTTATTAAAACTTTTAGTTTTGTAAAAAAAAAAAAAACACGAGAGAATTAAGATACGATACGATAAATTCATTCACGTTGTTTTCCACATTTATTTTTCCCACAGCATTTTTTTTAAAAGTGGGGGGGGGGAAAGAAAAACGTTTAAGCGTGTTATATATATATAGATAAATAGATTGTTTTTGAATTTAAGTTTTCGTGACGTGTTCTGAACAATTTTTTTTTTTTTTTTTTGTTAATTTAATGGTACAAATAAGATTCGTTTAGAGGGGGGGGAGGGCAAAGGTTTTTGCACTGATAAAAAAAAAAGGTTTATCGAACTTTGTATCCTATTTTTTGTTGTTGTTGTTTTCGTCGACCCAGAGCAATTCGTAAAAAAAAATTATCATTATCCGTTTTGTTTGTTTCCTTTAATGGATGATCGAACCTTTTTACAAAAAAAGGTTCGAAATCGTTTGAAGTTTTGCTATCATTATTAATAATGATAATAAGTTTTTGTTTTTTTTTTTAAATTCCCCAAAAAAAAACTTATAAAACTCAATAAAGCGTTATAAACGTTTTCAAATAAATCTCTCTCTCTCTCTCTCTCTCTCTCTCTCTCTCTTTCTCTCTCTCTCTCTGAAAAACTAATAATAATAATAATAAAAGTGATAAGACGACTATGATACGTTCACTTCCTGCAAGGAGAAAAAATAATAATAATAATAATGATAAATAAAAATCAGGAATGGAAGCCATGTTGGGTAAAAATCAAAGTTCAATTCATTTTTATTTATATTAATATTATTATTTTAAGTGAACAAACGACAAACAAACAAACAAACAAACAAATGATTTCGCTCATTATCAATAGAATAACTCACTGAAATTATTATCAATAAGTCAAAAAATAAAATAAATTTATTTGCAAATAATAATAATAATGATAATGATAGTGATAATGATAGCGATAAATATTTTTTTTTTTTTTATTAATGTTAATCTTATTGAGACTCGTCACACTTTAAACAAATGAAATTACATAAGTTATTAATTTATTAAACGTCAATAATCTTAATAAGTTCGTTAAGGTTCACACTCATAAAAAAAATTAATGAATAAATAAAAAGTTTTTATTAATAATAATTATAATAATAATAATAATGTTTTTGTTTAAGTTTTTATCACGAATAATAAATATTAATTTTATTTGTTTTTATTTTTTTTCACTTTTTTTTTTAAAACGTTTTAATTTCAATATTATTATTATCATTATCATCATCATTATTATTATTATTGACGGCGTGAAATCTAGCGTGGGAATCGTCAATTTTCCCGGGATAAATTTTGATAATTTTGATAATTTTTACATCGAACGTATTTCGCGTTTGATTTAATCGATGGGAATTTATTTTTCTCCCTTCCCCCCCTTTCCCTCCTTCTTCCCTTCCCCCCTCGCTTTTTTTTCCGTTACGTTTTTGGGGAATCGTCGCGTAATCATAATAATAGTTTTTCAAAATGTGGAAAATTCACACACACACACATCCCGGTAGAAAATTTTTTCCAAAAAAAAAAAAAAAGGGAAAACTCCTGGAGTGAAATACACGTCGATGTTTTCGAAAGGAGGGGAAGGGGGATGAGAAGGGAACGCGTGTGTGTGAGTGTGAGAGAGAGCAGCAGGAAAATTTTTTTTTTTTTTTTTCGAGCACGTTTTCCCGTTATTTTCACATCCACGTTTTATTATAATTTACGATTATGATAAAAAAAATAATAATAATGATAATGATAATGATGATAATCGTAAGGCTATATAAGATACAGGAAAAAAAAAACAAAAGAAAAGAAAAGGAAAATTTATCACGTTTATAGGGATGGATTGGTCATTGCCTTTTACGACATCTAAAAAAAAAATTTATTTATTTATTTATTTATTTTCCGATTTATTTTTTTTATTTGTTTTCTCGAAATCATTTTTTATTTATTTTTATTTATTATGACGTCATAAAAAATTATTAAAAAAAAGGGAAAAAAAATTGTTATGACTTTACGTAACGTATAATTATTAATGATTTAAGTCGAATGCGTATAGAAATTTGAAAAAGGTTTTCGGGAACCTTTGATTGAAAAAAAAATTTTTTTCTCCCCTTACGTCATCATTATAAATTATTATTATTATCAGTTTCCTTTTATTACCTGTTTCCTTTTCCTTTCCGCCATTATTATTTCATTTCACGTCACTTAACAATTTTTTCTTCTTTTCCTCATTTATAAGATTGACTTTTTTTTCCCCTTTTTTTCGCTGCGATTTATTTTCATAAAAAATAAAAGTGATTTTTCTGAGGG